CCAGGCTATCCTGGAAATATCTCTGTAGACCAGGCTGGCCTTGAACTCACAGAGATCCACCTGCTTCTGCTTCCCATGTGCTGGGATTAAAGGCATGTGACACCACCCTGGCTGAAATTTATCTAGATTCATCACAGTTAAATAATACATAAACTTGCATGGTAATTTGTTATATATAAAGGATATAAAATATACTATGTAAATATTTAATATGCATATATCATAAATGACATTTAATGTAAATGAAATATATAAAACATAAAGCATATATTTGTATAATTTTAGTGAATATCTGCAAATTGTGTTTCTTTGAAATATATATTTATTTTGTGAGCAAATGAAAAAACCCCAAGAAGATTAAACAGGTAACCAAAAGAATCTGCTCGTCATATTTGAATCATTTGTTAATGTTTAAAAAATAATTAGCTCATTCTTCTGAAATGAGATGTTTTGTCTTTGGGCTGGTAAAATAGTGTAAGAAAGAACACATTTAGGCACAAATGTTTTTTTTTTACTATTTACTTGCTTAATTAATAATTAATTAATTAAAAGTGTCTGTGTGCCTATGTACATGTAGGGACACAGTGTGTATGCAGGAGCCCTCAGATGTCAGAAAAGGACATCAGATCCCCTAGGACTGGAGGAATAGGCAGTTGTGAGCTGCCATGTGGGTTCTGAGAACTGAATCCGGTCCTCTGCAAGAGCAAAAAAGTGCTCTTTACCAATGTGACACCTCTCCAGTCTTCACAAAATGTTTTAAAATATGGAATCTCAACCTCTGTACTACAAGTTTGGTCAAAGACAGAGGAGAAAGAGCAATATTTAATCAGATAAGCCTCTGTTCTTCCCGAACTTGCATGAAGCAGACTGTGGCAAACACGTTCCTGACTCTGGGAGCTGGATCAACTAAGAACATGTTTGTACTGACTCATAGGCTGTTGGCTCTTGGATTATGCTATAGAGGTTTTTAATATGTCATATTATCTATTAAGCATGGATGAGGGGATGGTGTCAGCAGTCGGGGTCTGGGAAATTCCCTGGATCTTGCTGGGCAGAAAGGCATGAGGACAGTTTTCCTCACTGAATCTGCAGAGGGAGGGGGCTGAAGCCCACTATCTCTGTAGAAGAACTCAAGAAAACCCCCTGTGCTGGCTTTTTCTACTCTGTGAGTACATTTACCATGACAGAAAGACATTGCTGAGGAGCTTAAATTATACTTGCTTACTTATAAAGGACAACCCAGCAAGTTCGAGCCACTTAAAGTCACTGTATTACCTCTTTGCTGTCGGGGACACCGTTAGCCAACTTTATATCCCACAAATATGTATGCAAAGATTCATGTTGATCAGTAAAATTCTGAACACCAAAACCTCAGATAATGCTACCTGTCAGTTACTTAATTATAAACTCATGGCTCATTGGGCCTGAGATGGCAGATGCTGTTGAGTAGTTTCCTTCCCTGTTTTCCAACACAGAAGAACAGAACATTGACACAGACACTGAAAATGCACGTGGAAAGAAAAAAAGTATGTTTACTTTCTATTTGAAGAAACAGCATGAACAGCATTAACTATGGTAATTTTTTAGTCAGGGACTGCAGAAAATATTCGCTTTTTATATTTTCTTAAAAACCACCGATGTATACACAATTGGAGAGTAATCAGTGAAACCTCCAGAGTTCAGCTCCTAGCCCACACTCTTCCCTATATCCCGATCTGCTCTGAGTGTGTCTGGGGCCTCCACGTGCACTAGGCTCACTTGCCGAATTGGCTATACGTCACAGTCTGCTGAATCCCTCTTTTAACGTTCATAGGTGCAGTTATGTGTCTGTCCTTGCATTAACTGATATCTGTCCACTGTATGGATACATAGAGTTTTCTGCTTGTCTGTTGGACATGTGGGTGACACATTGCTTTGAGCTACCACCAATAAAGCTACTATGAACATTCATGTGTACTCTTGGTATTGACATATGCTTTCAATTTTTGGTAAGTATGAAAAACATTTTCAATTGTCTATTATATGAAAATACTATTTTCATTTTGAATATTGGAAACATTTTAGAAGTTGTAAGATTTGATGAGTATATGTAGAGCAGTTTTATATTAATATAGTACAGGCTGATAGAAATATTTAAAGGTCAACCAGCTAGTACTTATTGAAATTAAAAAACGTTTATCCTCTGTCCAGACATTCATCCTTTGCTACACTGAAAAAAATATCTCAGCTTCTGTGTGCCTCTGTATCTCATGGGCAGAAAGAGGAGAGCAATACATAATATGTATTTGATAGATTCATATATAATTAATGACAATATAGTGATCATTAAAATTACCACATGAGATATGATGGCATTATAAAAATATTCTCATTGTTTTTTATTACTACTCATGAGAATATATTCAGAAGTCCTTTGTCAAATGCGAACAGAAAAATGTTATTTTAAAAATGTTATTCTAAAAGTAATAGTAACTAGCTTCATTGCTGCTGATATGACACTTCCCTACATGTTGTGTGTTACTGTAGTCAATGAGACCCTGTATGCAAATTCTTTGGAAGACAAAGGCATAGTACGCATCTGAGAATCCATTGAATCATACAGATTGGTTCTTAGCCTTTTAGGAGCAGGGGTGGATCTGCGTGTCCTACTTTTAGGCAGCTGGATAAGGATTAGCAGCCTTGAAGGATGATTCTCTTTCTCATAGTCAGTTGTGGTTCTCATCTCCCACTTCCCTAGTAACACTAAGAAGGAAAACATCACAACCTCCGCTCCTGAGTATTTAACATATCATATGGAAGGGTAGTGGGTGTCAAGGCTTTGTTGAGGTCTATTATTGGAAAACTACATCTTCATGGTCAAAAGAATGAAATCTGAGTTTTACCTTTGGCCCTAGGTGGAAACAGGACATTCTGATCTGCTCCCAAGATTAGAATTTTGTATCCTGTTTTCTACTACTTTAAGAATTATTCCAGATAGTCTGTAAATCACCTTGTTAGGGAAAGTAATTCAGGGAAGACACACCAAGAAGATGGGAGAACTAATTGTCTCCTTAATGGGATAGTGTACTTATATTTCCTAAAAACCCTTCCCCTATTACAGTTCCTACCCCTTTCCCCAGACATTGGGTGAAAGTTTCAAAAGAAATGAGACCTTCTTTACAGTAATTTTACCCGACCTTCCTATCCTGGAGAGGTAGACCTTTACCTTATCAATTGTAATCCTGCCAGATGCTCACAGTGATTGCGACCATCCAGTTCTGAGTGAGATAATACCTTCAAACTCCACCAACATCTCACAGATGTTTGTTGTGGAAATCAAGAATATTCATCCTCTTGGAGAAGCACATACCCGTGCTCTTGAACAGGCCCACCTTACTTCTTGCTGAGGACATTTTTCTCCTACCCTTCTTCATTAAACTTCTAATAAAATTTCCAACTCTGCCAGCTCTAGTCCTGATAACTTCAGTGTCAGAACTGAGAATCCTAGTGTGGCCTCACTGGGAGGCCCTAAATGTTTCTGGGAAGTCCTCCTGCTGCTGATGGTGACATGGAGGAACTGTAACTCTTCTACTTGTACACTAAATGCTGACCTTCTCTTTCTTGACTATTGGTCAAAAGCTTGGGAATCTTTCCCTTTCACTCTGGGCTTTCTTATTCTTTCTCTGAAGACTTCTTTTCTACCACGCATCAACTTCTGGAACCCCGCTGTTGAACATGCTGACTCTCTTTAATGCTAACAAAAAGGCATGAAGGCCTGGGGAGATGACCCCATAGTTAGAGTGCATGGGCAAGAGTTAAGATTCTCAGAAGGCATAGGGTGATGGTTGGGTGTGAATGCCTGTTTGTAATTCCAGTAACAGAGGAACCACAGAGCAAGCTGGCTAGACTGGTCATATCCCAGAGTTCTGGGTTTTATTGAGAGACTCAGCGTCAATGAATAAGGTAGAACAGTGATCAAGGGTGATTTCCAATACCAACCAGGGGCCTCCACATGCGTGCTTAAACATGTACAAAAACATCCATGTATATATATGCACACCACATGCATGCACACAGGCACACATGCATACACACACACACTCACACAATACAGATGAAAAATGGTAAAAAAGAAGAAAAGTTCATGTCTTTTTTCCTTTCTTCTCTCTCTCTCTCCTCCTGGAAGCTGCCCAAATATATGGCTGCTACATTTGCTCAAACTTTAAAGAAATGGGACTTGAGCTCCCTTCGGCATCCATCTCTAAAATCCTTTATTATTAAAACTAAGAGTCCACAAAAGGAAATTCCAAATTTCCCCACAACCCAATAATAAAAGAATATGAATCAAAAAGCATTGTAATTGTCTTCACACAGATTTTATGTAATGCAGGCAGAGAAGGAATACAGATTGATATCCATACAATTAAGTGTAAATAATTTTCAAATAGGTGTCAGTAATTTCTCCATTTTTCCAATTTTGAAAAGAGAATATTTAAGCATATTTTATATTCCTACTTCACTTTCCTTAGTTTTGAACACAAACTATAAATGTTAGTATATAAAACTGATCAACTCAACAGTAAAGCAAAAATAAAAGTTGGAAATGGGCATTGTTTTGCCTTGGAATTATTTATTTGAGTTTGTTATTCTAGAACATTCTTATTCTATGGTTATATACAAAGAATATAACAACATTTCAGTTTCCTTGGCAAGTCTGCTGTGACCGGCAATAGCACGTGGCTGACGTTTTATTCTACACTGGAAAGACTCACAAGGAAGGAGCATAGGTAGACATGCGTATAGTAGTGTACACATTTGGTTTCTGTGCCTCTGCATTTCCTTAGGGGTAAGAGTCCCTTCCTGCACAGGCTATCCAAAGCATTTTATGAAATAACCATTTAGACTCTTAAAAGGCATTTCTCATTTAGTGTAGAAACACCACCAGGGAGCAGATGTGTGCAAGGATAGATAAAGAGAGAGAGAGCTTTGGAGTGACATTCCAGTCTGCCTCTCAGACAATCTTAGGTGCGGTATAACAAGAACCCACTAAATGTGGTCACGGGTGGGTATTTGATTGGAATTGTTCCTTTTACAAGACGCAACCACACTTCTTGCCCATAGTTTAATTCAAATAAGGCATCCCCAGTCAAAACTCTATCACAATGTATTTCATTGTCGGTATTTTCAGACTCAAATGTAAGCTTATCTACTCCATCAACCACTAAAAACCCTGAGATATGAGCACTGAACGACTCAATAGTGTATTTGAATATGTACACTCCAAGGTATGGAATTCTGAACCTGCCAGTGCTTGGGTTATATGAAGCCCCATAATTGACGCCTAGATCATTGAACAGGATAGGGCCAGGTTTTGTCATTCCGTGAGTGTGAGATACGAAAAACGCCACCATCGGAGCATATCTGTAGGATCCTTTGGAAAAATCTGTTCAAGGAAAAACATTGCAAGAGTTATTTTTCAGGTTTTTATCTTGTTTTTCTTCCTACAGTTCTCATTTTATCTCTGTCACACAGTCTTTAGCAGAAGCACAAAGGTCTCTATCAAACTGAGCAAAGCCCATGTGTCTGGATGCCTGCCTCCACTGTGGGCTAAAGTATGTGGAAACAGTCTCCTGGAGCCTCAGTTTCTCCATTTAGATCTGGGTCAATTGTAACATCCCTCAACTCTCCTGTAGAAATGCCTGCAAGATCATCTGCACACTGCTTTACAATCCCCAGAGATAAAGGAATTCAAAGCGCATCCATTATAGGATGCCAGAATGCCCTGCAGGGACTGTAGCCTCCAGGATGGAGAGTCAAGTTTCTGTGGTAATTTCTAGAGGCTGAGACTGAAGTGAAATGAAGCTTTGCTCATCAAGGAGAAGCAGGCAAAAGCAAGTTTCTGTGTAATTAATGCCCCATACACTTAGGAAAGATTTAAAATGGACTAAAATGTACTCTTGAACATAGGAAATAGGGAAAGTCTGACTTGAAATATTCTGGGGTCATTGAAAATCGTATATTTAAAATATATACATTTAAAACGCTGCACACATTTTCTTATATAAAAGTCAGGAGTGCTACATTAAATTTAATATTATTATTTTATGAATGTGTGCATGTAAGCCATAGGCCGGCTTTCAGAAGTTAATCCTCCCCTTTCCCTGTGGGATCTGAGCATCAAACTCAGGTGTCAGCTGCCTGCCAGTACCCTGTCCAGCCAAGCAGCCTTGGGGCCAGGAGTGCTGCACTCTCCGAGTAAATGTACAACTAACACCAATCTACGGAAGTGAAGAAAACAGGAAAAACAGGCTAAGAAGGCACAAATGATCTTTCACAACTATTTTCAGCATGTGTTTGTGCGTGACACGGCAAGCATAAGAAGGTGAGACTTGTACCTGGTGCTAAGGCATTTTCTGCCACGCTCTTCACAGCACAGGTGTCCCCCGTGAAAGGGTGCCGGCAAGCACAGACGAAGCTGCCTTTCCCACTGATGCACGTTCCACCATTCTGGCACGGGAAGCTGCTGCAGCGGGAATGTTCCTGGGCTACTGAAAGGAATCACAGCAAGAAAAAAAAAAGGGGGGGGGGGGGATAATTTGAAGCATGGGACTTCAAGCAGGTATTTTGTCTCTGGCACTCATCAGGGTGGGTACGGGATTTCATGCAAAACCCTCATATCTAACCCCATTGTGTGATGTGACGATAATTTTGTGACCAAGTATTTTTGAGTATGTAAACTTTTGGTCGACTTTGGAGCAGAATATAACTATCTAAATACTGGACTATTTGACTATATTTGAACTAGAAAACAACAGGGATAAGGTTTCAAATCATCAGAAAGCTACCTTTTTATTTTAACGATGTATTATTTTTAAAACATTTGTGTGTTCATGTGCACACATGAGTGAATTTATGTGTGCCATATGTGTACAGTTAATGTCAGCAGAGGAATTTGGATTCCCTGGAACTGGAGTTATAGGCAGTTTTGAGCTGCCTAGAGTGGTGCTGGGAACAGAATCAGTATTCTCTGTAGGAATAGTAAGTGCTCTTAGCCTCTGAATCATTTTTCCAGCTTTACATTTTTAAGACTAAAAGGAGAAAAAAAGGACCTTTCATATTTGATCACCTGAAAATAAAATCTTATTTGAAAGTTAAAATTTTAATGAGTGACAAATTAAGAGAAAAATCTTAGCACACAAATTAAGTAACATATTTATAGCTCATGAAAGCTTCTGATGATCATGCACAAGAACATTTCCACTTAAAAAACAAAGGAAAATGGCTAATGATATGAGCTGACAATTCATTAACCCAAACCATGACAATTCTCTGTAGGTTCTCATTTTTGATTTTTCAAGACAGGGTTTCTCTGTGTAACAGTCCTAGATGTCCTGGAACTCAATTTATAAACCAGGTTGGCCTCGAACTCACAGAGACAGAGATCCCCGTGCCTCTGTCTCCCAAGAGCTAGGATTAAAGGTGTGCACCACCACTGCCCAGTCTCTCTGTAGGGTTTTTTGTTTGTTTGTTTGTTTTTTTCGAGATAGGGTTTTTCTGTGTAGCTTTGTGCCTTTCCTGGAACTCCCTTTGTAGACCAGGCTGGCCTTGAACTCACAGAGATCCGCCTGGCTCTGCCTCCTGAGTGCTGGGATTAAAAGCAAGCGCCACCACCGCACGGCTAAATAGAATCTCAGCACACTGAGCTCTTTTTTTTCCCCCAGAGCTGAGGACCGAACCCAGGGCCTTCCGCTAGCAAGCGCTCTACTACTGAGCTAAATCCCCAACCCACATCTGTAGGTTTTTAAACATCTTCAACATTGCTATTGATTACATAACTTACTACTATTAAATTATAGTAAATTTAGCCTTAATTAAGTCATGCTTCTGTCAGGTAGCAACATTTTTGTTTGTTTGTTTGTTTGTTTTTTTGAGACAGGGTTTCTCTGTGTAACAGTCCTGGCTGTCCTGGCATCTGGCATCTGCTTTGGAGACCAGGCTGGCCTCGAACTCACAGAGATCCGCCTGGCTCTGCCTCCCGAGTGTGGGATTAAAGGCGTGTGCCGCTACCGCCCGGCCGTTTTTCTTTTCTTTTCTTTTCTTTTTTTCTTTCTTTTTTTTTTTTTTTCCAGACAGGGTTTCTCTGTGTAGCTTTGGAGCTTACTCTGTAGCCCAGGCTGGCCTGCCTCTGCCTCCCGAATGCTGGGATTAAAGGCGTGTGCCACCACCTCCCGGCAGGTAGCAACATTTTAAAAAGACAAACTATTCAGATATAAGGATTTGAAAAAAAAGGTCAAATGTTGATTGACAGGTAAATAGCCAGACCCTTTAACTGGACAATTTGGTCATTGTCACCAGCATTGAAGCACTCATTTACTTAGCTCCATACTTCCTGGTCTGTGTACACAAAGATCACTGCTCAAAGGGCTTTTGTAATATCATTTCAATTTAATTTATTTTTATCTCAAAAAAATTAAACTACATTTTAATAGCCAGTGATTCAGTTTGTCAAATAAATCACAGCATATTGCTACAAAGAAAGAAATAAAAGCAACTAAAGAATGTGGTAGAGCCTCCACACACTTAGTTTACTGTCACCGAGGTTACAGTTTGCACAGCACATACAAAATAACTTAATTATGCTAGAACTTCAAGTTAAAATAGCAGGTATAAGCATAATGGAAAATTATGTAAATTCAGAGAAAATGCTGGAAGAATCCCCATTTACTTGCCACAATTTCTGTTATGGCACCACCTTGTGGCAGTAGTGTAAATTTAAAATTTACTGATTTCAAATTTTGTGATTGTAGATCACTTAAATTTTGGAAATTCCCCCTCCCCCCAGCATACCCCTGCTCTGTCTTCATATGCATGTATATATATATACACAATTATACAGATATATAGCCCTATCTATCTATCTATCTATCTATCTATCTATCTATCTATCTATCTATCTATCAGAGAAAAGTATATAAGGCTCTTTATATATAGTCACAAATATATGGTATCCTAATATATGGTACAAATGATACTGTGTACCCTAATAAAATTTGCCTGAAGTTCACAGGACAGAACAAGCCACTCGATTAAACATAGAGGCCAGGCAGTGGTTATGGTGATATTTTATTTGTGCTGAAATGTGATTTTATCTGTATGTTAATAAATAAAAGTGCCTGGGGGTCAGAGCTAATAACAAGCCATTTAGCAGAAGTCTGGCAGTGGTAGCACACACCCTTAATCACAATCACATGACAGGAAGATCTCTGTGTGTTCAAGGATACAGCCATCATGGAGACACACGCCTTTAATCTCAATACCAACCATAGAGACCTGGAGGTCTGTATAGACAGGCAGTGACGAGGAGGTCATATGGTTGGGTTTACAACCAATGAAAAGGCAGAACAGAAAGTCAATAAAAAGACAGACACACAGGAAGTAGGTCTCTTTCTGAGGGGGCATCTGGTGATAAGAAGGTGGTCTCAGTTTTTGGCTACTGCTCTCTGATCTCTGGGCTTTTAACTCTGCATTTGGCTCTGTGTTTCTCATTTAATAAAACCGTTCAGAATTACGTCTACAAGTGGTGGCATATACCTTTAATCCTAGCACTCAGGAGACAGACGTCCATCTGAATAACTATGAGTTCAAAGCCATCCTGAACTACATGAGATTGACTCAGTTTAGGAGAGAAACAGAGCCAGGCAGTGGTGGCACACAACTTTAATCCCAATACTTGGGACTCACACACTTTTAATCCCAGCCCTCGAGATCTCATGCCTCTGCTACCAGTATTTGGGAAGCACATACACCTTTAATCCCAGCACTAGGAAGGAAGAATTATGCCTGTGTGGAGAAAGTTATATAAGTCGTGAGGAGACAGAATGGCTGAAGCCTTTTCTACTGGAGCCCTTTTTCGGCTGAGGACTCAGGGACATTCAGTCAGAGGGTTCATGGAATTGCTGAGGTGAGAAGTAACTGTGACTTGTTCCTTTGTCTCTCTGATCTTTCAGCATTTACCCCAACGACTCCAGGTTTTTTATTACAGAACCTTTAGAAATTTTATATATATATATATATATATATATATATACACACACACACACACACACACACACACCATGCGTATGTATATACACACATACATATATACTTGTACGCACAGATGCACACATACACTTACACATGCAGACATATGCACAGACATAAATGCACACACATACATAATGACAGACGTACACACAGAGGAAGAGATATGTGGGAAAGCGCTGAGATTCAGGGTGACTTTTAAATATATTAACACTGAAATTTGGTGGATTAGGTAGTATCAGAAAAGGAACAACAAAACCTCCATAAATGGTGCATACTCTGGAGTTGTACAGCTGGATGAAATGAAGAACCTCTACATCTCATTTTTAAAACTGTGTGATTTGTTTTTCTTAATAATTGTTTTAAGTAAAAATCTGTATGTTCCGTTTCTATATGTGTATTAGCAATTTACTAAAAATGTGGTGAAACTTCATGCTTGTATTATTTAATGTTTTTTAAAGAGAATATATTAGTATGTTCCTTGAAAATTCCAAAATGATTTAATTTTTCTTTACATATTCTCTATAAACTACTTCTCTCATCTAGGAAAGTATTTGAATAGGTTAGTTCATATATTTCATATATTTCTATATATTACATTCAATGTATTTGAAGAAATGTTGTAAACTGGCCTTCATTTTTAGAACATGTTCACCCCTTGAACATGTTCTTTCATTTGCAGTTAGATATTCTAGAACTTAGCCTACTTCTTGCTAACTTGAAAACTCCCAGCGAGTCTCCATTGCTTGTTGAAGTGTGACTCCTTGACCACAAAGCACAAGCTTCATTCATCTTCCCATCCTCTGACCTAGCACTGTGATTAACCCCTGGGAGACTGCTCCATTAATAAGCATCACTAGCAATGAGTTGATTACACAATAGAGTAGCAGGATAATGAATTATTTTAGAAACTTGATCAGCTCTATAGTTCTGACTGTCCCAGATGAGAAAGTCAATCCCACCTGTAGACTTGTCCTGTAAAGACACCAGACCTACTCCAGGGAGAAAAAAAATAAGACACTATGAAATGATGGCTTACTCTCCATTGCGACCAATTCCATTCACTTCTTCAAGGCTAAGACTTCTGCTTGGTTTTCAGTGTCCAGTGTGTATATTCAGCTGTCACTCTCCTGCCCCATTACTTTCTGTGATGGTTTCTCACTTTGCTCTTAGCTCTTAGCATTACAGAGTGTGTTGCCTACCCTTCATCCCAATCTTTCTGTGGAGTCACAAATCATCAAGAAGGATCCGATTCTGTCTAGTTGAGTACCTGAACTTTATCCTCTTACTCCAGTATTCCAAACTTCTTGTGACCATGTAATTGCTTACTTAGACTTCTGCCCTGTGCTTTCTGATCACCTGTTCGCGGCTGTCCACATCTATTTCCACTGTTTCTCTTTTATGTCGCATTCTTTGCCTCACTTGCTACTTAAGGTATTTCTGGCCTTCAAGTTGAGGACACAGT